TCTGTCAAGTTGTCTGCTGGGGTGTCTAGCACATGGCCACTGGACATGGCGTCAGGGCTGGGTGCTAGTGTTTTGGAAAAGAGAAGAATACAAATCACAAGTAGATTACAAAAGAGTTATGAAAGGTTTGGGATGAACTAAGGCCTACCTTGAAACCTTCACAAATTTTTATCAGCACTACAATACAAATACCTAAAAGACCTGTTATATATTTGTTTAGATTTTATTATTGTTTAGCCAATAATTATTTTCCTGTAATGGCTGACCAATAATACAATTATATGCCATTTGCTTCTAAAAACAACAACAACAACAAAATAATTAAAATATTAAACACTAAAATTAACTGTTTTAAATGCTGGCATAACAACACCATATTGTACAGAATGAAAACTGAAATTTGCTAACGATTACATTGTTATTCAATTAATATTAATAAAGCAATAAGCCCCAAGAAACCGTGGTTTACAGTGAATTTATAACAGCTAAGGGGCGTTGTTACAACCCCCTTAGCTGTTATAAATTCACTGTAAACCACGGCTTCACGGGGCTTATTGCTTTTATAAAACGGTTATTCCATATACGTAGTAAGGTTTCACAAAATAAAACAGAGCAAATAAAGTGTAATGATATTAATAAAAACATTATTCTTCAGCCAAACAATGTAGAACCTCAGAAACGGTTGTGGTTCCAACGAAGTGGTTGCCGAGCAACACACAAATGTAAACAAAGGTGTATGTTTGTAGAGTAATTTACAACAGCTTCGAACTTGGCTCAGCCAATCAGAATCAAGGACCGGAACTATCCATTTTATAATATTCAATTAATTAATATTAATACTCAAAAATGTTATTAAAGATTAACCTTAAGTGAGCTGTGAGCATTAAAGAAGTCTTAATGTAAAAATAGGGAAAATGAGCATGCACTATTAAATATCCAATATTTCCAATACTGATAATTAAAAAAAAAATTTATATTGCTACGTATATACTGTGCACCCCTAGACAGAATACACACCTGAAATGTTCGGAGTGGCCAGGAACAGTTTATCAACCACAAAAAGTGTGAAGCGTTCAGTCTGATCCTTTCTTTGTTCTACCTGTGTCACAGCGAGGGTTGTCTGCTCAGAATCCCGCAGTGATAACTCTGTGCTCTGCTTTAGTGCTTCCAGGTCCCACTGCATCTGTTCTACTTCCTTCTTTTTCCACATCAAATCCTGGTCCATCTGTGACAGGCTTTGCTCAATCTCCCCTAACTCATGCGCCATCAGCCCAGAGCTCATGTCAGTAATGTCTGGTAGCTCTACATGAGAAATTTTCTTCTCCATACAAAGAAGAAGTTCTGCAGTTGTAGTAGCATTCTCATTAGCATGCTCTCTCTTTATAATTTCCATCTCTAGTGTCTCATACTTCTGTGCATTTTGCTCTGGGTCTGGTCTTTGCGAGTCTTCAAAGTCATCCGGTTGTGCTAGGAGTTCCAAGGTTTGTGCTTCCCTTTGCGTCTTCTGATGCAAAGGACATTCACTTGTAATGCCATACGCAGGTTGCATCTTCATCGCATCAAGAGGTGTTTGTGCCGCACTGTTTGGTTCATTCAGTAGTTTCTTGACCTGTTTCTTTTCGGTGTGTATTACATTTACTCTTAATTGCTCCTTAGGTTCTTCACGTTCAATGAACTGCTCTGTTTGAGTCCAACCGTCTTCTCTCTGACTGACGTCAATGTCACTTTGTGAGGCATCCAGTGAAGATGCAGCAAGCACAGGAATGCTAACATGACCAGAAAATGAATTTTGACTTACCGTAATATCTGCAAATAGTCCCATCCCATGAGATTTACAAGTGTCTGCTTCCAGTCCATGAGTGCATATTCGGTTTTGAGCAGCAGGTATCTGGTACAGGGACGACAGAAGGGGCCATTCATCCTCTGCGGAGCATAATTGATTTATGCCTGTAATGTTTGTGCTTGGCGGCCCCACCAGCTCTCTATTTCTCTCTCCTCCATTTCGTAGATTGCTTTCATAAACTCCTTCGTCCCTTCTGACATCTTGTGCTTCCCCCCTCGTTGCCAACAAGAGCTCCAAAGGCTGAATCGAGTTCCCTCTGACGCGAAGGTTGCTGCTAAGTATGATGTCTGGGAACAGGAGATGATCTTGGTCCAGAACAGGAGAGGCCAGTAGGTCAGCTGAGCTTCTTGAAGGAGAAAGACTTTCTATATCACTATTCTCCCGGGATAGCAGCAGAGACTGCTCCTCAACTCCCTTGGCATTAACAAACTCGGACACCTTACGGCAACAGTAAAGTATGTTCCCCATATTGTCCATTTGTTTACACAAGAGCAAAAGAACTGTAATTTTCTTTTAGCCCAAGAAGCTGTGAGTCAGCTAATAAGAGCTCATTTGGTTTTAAAATGACCTTGGCTGCTAGAAAAACCTTGCTTTGTTGGTAAATCTTTAAGACAAGCCTGACAGACAGTTGACATACCCAATTACCAAGTCTGGCATCTGGCAACTCTGCAATAGCTTAAACATGTTCTAGACAGCAAATACAGTAAAGACATTCAATTTTTTTGCATGCCAGAAATGACCGAAAGGATGATTTATGCATAGATGAATTGACTGACTGGGTTATAGTATCTCCTATAAATTTTTTGTACCTAAATAAAAGTTAACAGCAGAAGATCAGAAACATTGCATAGATTAAAATAAAATGGCTGATTTAAAAATACACATTTTTTTTTACTATGTAACTGAAACTAATGGATTAATAAGTAATATTAAACACGCAAGCATCTTCTCACAGTTATATTCCTTCATACATGTGCCCGCTACTATGTAACTGAAACTAATGGATTAATAAGTAATATTAAACATGCAAGCATCTTCTCACAGTTATATTCCTTCATACATGTGCCCGCTGTCCATCTGCCCCATAAATCTCTATAGAATCACAGGTAAGCAGAATAGCTTGTCCCAAGCAGAGGTGTCCCTCTCTCCATAAAACGCAACACAATTCTATAGTGTCTCTTCCTCTGCCTCATGAACCCCTCCATCTCCCCCCACACATTTTCTATTCCCGGAGGGAGGCGTCGCGGTGGAGTTCCCCGCATCCCATTCCTCTTCCAGAGAAATCGCTACTCATTTCTTCAGTTTCACTAAACAAAAAAGCACATGACATGCCTTCTTGAATCCATGCCAGATCACACATTCGTTCAGGAGTCTTCTATATGAGCTGCGCGCTTGTGGAGTGCATTGCTCGGTGATGCAGCTCTCTGCTGTCCGCTCTGAATCCGCTGCTGGCTCGAGCGGTCGCTATGACATAGTGCTGCAGCACCGGCGGAATGTGCAGGACCTGTTTGGAAAAGCTACAATAGTCGGAGAAGTGGAAGGAACAGAGAACCTTAAGAATACTAAACGAGCAGAAGTAGTACGCATTGTTTTTGTTGTACGCTTATCGATCTTCTACTTGTTTGTCTTCTCCCACGCAACCTTTTTTGCGTTAGAATCTCACCTTTACTCGCTGCGCATGCGCGTATGCTACTAACTGTCGCTAATCTGTCCTTTTCGATTCGAATGACAATACGATATACACGGCCGTTTATTATAGATATCTTATGGAATTAATAATATGTTTTAATTTTATAGGAACCAAAATAAATATATACGTATTAACATGTAAATTCCAAAGAACGAAAAAGTATATTTTATCTTAATATGCTCGAGGTCGCTAAACTCGTTCGCTAGGTGACTGATATTGCAGTATTTTGAATTGTACACAAGAAATATAGTTGAATTGTCCTTTAATGTCTATGAAAAACGTACAAAATAGAGAAGCGGCCACAGGTTGAGCGGTTTTTCGTTTTGAAATAGATACATTTGATTAGAATGTTTGTCACTTTTTCCCTTTATTTTATCAAAAATATATTATACCATGTTTCTTTAAAATAAACATTATTACTAAACTATATAAAATACTATCAGGCAATATCACAGTCAGTCTTTCATAGCCTACTAAGGCCCTCCTTCCACCCAGCGCTATAACATCACACAGGACTCTTGAGTTTGATACATTTTTATAATTTAGAGTAGGCTAATTATGTTTATACAATCTAACCTTGATGTGTCAATTCTGTAAAACCTGTAAACATGTTTGGGAATTTTATATAATGGCCAATTGTAAGTATTTCTTATCCTGTTATCTGTTTAGTAACCAAATTCACTAAATTCTTCAAATCTTAAGTCAAGAATTAAGACTGAGGTTTCTGTAATACAGCCCCATAAAAAGCAAAATGGCTGCTGCATTTGATACATGAATGTAATACATTTTTGGTAAATAATATTTGGTCAATAATTTGGTCAGGTAAGTTTTAGAACTTCTATTATTAATTATGAAACATTGGTTTAGAACAGACATTTTTGTTTTTACAAATTTTAAAAGATATTTTGCTTTTGACATGATCAGAACATTCTAGAAGTTTCTTTAACATTTTTTTTTTATTCTAGTGCTTTCTGGAACATTCCAGAACATTTTGGGACCAGTCATAAAAGACAAAAAGCATCCAACGTACACTTCTGACGTTTTGGATTCATTTTTGGTAACTGTTTGCTAATTTGTTATCTCAGTATTATGCATGTACTATGTAATTTTTATGCATGAGTAATAACAGATTAGCAAGTTGTCAACACACACACACACACACACACACATATATATATATATATATATATATATATGAACACTGTTAATGATCCACAGAAAGTAATGTGATTTTCATATTCAGCATGTCAAACTTCATAAAGAAACAAAAGTGAAACAAAACTTTTAGAAAAATTCATTGGTTCATTGAAATTCAAGATTCATTGATACATTTATACTGTGTATTTATTTTTTTCATTTTCAGTTTTGTAGCCTTTTTTGTCCCAGTCCTCAAAAATCAGTGAACATACTTTCAGGGAACTTTATAATTATAATAAATATGTAAATAAACAGAACAAGAACAACAAATACAAACAATTTTTGTAGTATTTAATAAATAAACCATGTTTCACTTCATATATATTTCAATACATCATAAAGCTCTTTTCCAATAGAGACAGAGAGACCAAAAACACAAAAGCAATATAATACACCTGTTTGCCTGCATCTGCCCTCCCTGTTCTTCTAAAGTGTGTCTAATGTGATAAGAATAATTCACTTAATTGACACAAATGATGACTGCATGGAAAGTGAAAACTCGTTTATAGAGTGTTCTAGGTTCTACAAAGAAGACACATTTCAAAAAGGGACATCACTATGTAGGTTTCAGGTGCTTTGTAACTCAGAGTTACTCTGTAACTTTCCTTACAACTTTGAATCATTCAAGCCAGGAAGTTTCTAGAATGCAACAATCAGGTTCTGGAAGTCAAAATCCCATTCACTTTCTCCATAGGGGAATGGATTTTCAACAATAACATAAAAACCTTTAAAGACAGACCTACTTTAAGCTATGAGGTTGCTAATCGAGCCATCGAAGCCACCAGCCCACATTATTTAAACTTGTTTTCTAATTATAATTTATAATTTCAGAATTCCTGGTGAAAAACTACATTACCCACGAGTCAACATTTAGAGAATCAGAGTCCACCAATCAGAATTGCGACAAGCCCACTCCCAAGAAGTACTGTGAATGATGCAGAGTGAGTTTTCTACATAATTTTTAATTTTGATTATGACATTTGCAATGCTTCATGAGAATACATTTCTTTCACTTTTGTATCATTGTGTTTATCTGATTTTCAAACACTTTCTTTGCTTAAAATCTAATTTTGTAATGTTTGTGATTCACCTCAAAGTTGGTTGGTTTGGCTCATGGCTTATTATATCTCTTAAACAAAGACTTTTTAAAGGTGCAGTATGTGATATTGACAGCTAGCAGTTGACATGGGTACTGCGGTCCAAATTCAAAAGATTGCAGGTTGCCAGATTGAGGACACGAAACAGGAATGAGCACAATTGATAATGGAGGGAAATGATCCTTACACTGTAAATTGATGAGTTGACTTATCTATGTTTTAATAAGCCTCTGTTCATAGAGCTTGGATGCCGAGGCTTTTTAGGTCGGGTAGAATCTGTGATCTCTGACCCAGTTTGTTTGCTCGCTTCCATGGCTGCAATACTGCTAAGTTTTCCGCTAACTGGCAACCCAGTGTGTCTAAATACTATTGGGTAAATTAGCAGTGGGCGGAATCACACAGAACAAAATAAAAACAGACATTCCGACACGGAACACACATTTCAAAGCAGAATAACTGGCTGTAGCTTTGTTTTTTGGAGGAACAAGTACGTGAACTTAGCATGTTTCCTACATACCTGCAAACATATTATGGTATTTTTACGCTTTAGTACAGTGAAAAAAATAGCATACAGCACCTTTAAAAAACTATAGGAAAAATGAATTGGAAAAATCCCTCCAGAACCAAGGGCACTGTTGCCCTTTATAACTCAGTTGTCTCTGGTCCAATTTCCTCCCTCAGTGGTCGTTCTCTGAATCTACCTATTCGAGCTTCTGGCATCCTTGAAAGGCCACCTTCTCTCCAGTGACCTCCAAGTGACCTGTGCAAGGGGAGGAGCCTATGTTTGAAAGGATAAAGGAAAAGGGCGGGGTCAGGCATGGGGCGCGCCTCTTGGGGCCCAAGCACCCTTTCGCGGGGCACGCATTCCCTCACTCTTTCTGATCTCCGCACCCTTCCTGAAGCTCGGCTTTGACGTGGACTTTCCGCCGTTACTGGAGATTTTGCAGTCCATTCTGATTCCTGTGTAAAGGTAAAAGAATAAGACTGATTCATGCCTCAGATTATGAGTAAATCCAGCAGTAGTGCCTCCTACCTGCATGGTGCCTCCTTCATCCTCTTCTTCTTCATCCTCTTCCTCGTAGTCTTCTGCCTGGTGATACAATCGAAATTGTGCTGAATGCAGTTGGAAGGACAGCTGAGCGGCCAGGTCAGTCTGCTTGCGGAGGTCACGACTCAACGTTGTAATCTTATGACTGCGTCGTTTTAGCTCCTCTAGGAATCGCCGCTCTTCATCTCGAAGTCGAACCTGCAGTGCGCTCGCAAGTGCCCCCTTTTTCCGTAGCTCCGCCCGCAGCTCCACCAGCGTGCTTTCCTGCTCAGCCAGATGCTGCTCTGTCTCTAGTAATCGTGCCTGCAGAAGCTCTTCCTCCAGTTCGATATCTGTAAAAACATGTAGTTGAGGGAACATGTGGGAATGACTGGAATCTTGTGATATCTGATACTCACCTTCTCGGCTTCTTACTGGTGGTCTTTCACTTAGTTCACAACTCAGCTCTGTAATGATATACACATAGAGAGGAGTTAACAGACATGAGAGTGCCATGAAAGTATCTTTTAGGCAAAGGGTTTCTGATGCTAAAGACCCCCAAATGTGACAATCCTGTTGCGAGGGACCCCTTCCTATAATATATAAATGCAGCTATATATTTTCTATGTACAAAAAACCCCAAAAAAAACAACTGTTCCCAAAATTAAATAATTGGCTTTTATATTGTCATTGCACTAAAAATGTTCAAGATAATATTTCAACATATTTTAGTAATATATATTAGCTTTGACTGCGCTGAAAAATATGTTTCTTAAAAAAAAATTGTAATTTTTTTTTTTCTTAACTTCACAGACCACTGTTTTAGTCAGTTTGATGGATGAAGAGGTTTTCATTTGAAATGCAAAGTCTGAATTAAGCATACATTACATTTTCCCTTCTGTCCTAATGAATGAAAATTTAAAAAATATATACATTCAAAATGTACTGTAGAAAGGTAAGTAAAAATAATTTTTTCATTTTTAGGTGATTAGGTAAATATTCAATGTAAAGCTGCTTTAAAATAATGTGAAAATATGTGAAAATCACTATACAAATAAAATCGACTTATTTTGACTTCATATAGACTGTTTCATTGACAAAACTTTGCTTTCTTATGAAATCATAGTTAATTAAGTGCAAAGTCCTGTATTAGGTATTTCTATATTTGAGTTCAGAATGGAGAATCTATGGAATGAGGATGAGTGACAGACCATTGCATCGTTTCTTCAGGTTGCGGATATCTAGCCGTAGACCGCTAAGGAGGATCTGGTGTTCCTGCTGCAAAAATGCTACATTACGCTCAACGCTCTCCACCTGTTGGGTAAGTGTGGATCTATCCATGGAAGGCTCCTGGATGTTGGCGGGTTACAGCACCTGTTTACAATAAAGTTAAAATTGTTAGTATGTCAATACAAAGTAAACACTTTCTTTACTTAGGCCTAACAATCCATTAAAGGTTGAAGCACACTAATTTCCATTAACCATTCCCCTCCAACTGCCAGTCTGATGTGAGCTAGAGATAGCGACACATATTTAAGCAATTTGAGCATTTGCAGTGCTTCATTTAACTCTAAGGGTGAATTCAAAATAGCTTTTTGTGCCCTTGATGGGCACTTTGGGAAGGAATGCCATTTATAGGGACGTTCCAAACGAAAGTGGACAACTGAATCCCTTTACAAAGGGCCCTTCCAGAACTCCGTTAGCAAAGGGAACATGCGATGGTCACTTCAATTAAGTGATTTCTGTTTGTGATCACTAGATCTTGAATTCACCCACATTTTTTTCTCTGATCTGCAGAATCATGAGTAATGCAGTTTTTCACCAGGGACTTCAATGTTGAACACGTTTATTTAGAAAATAAATTGATATAATGCAGGCTGATGGCTTCAACAATAGCATCGATTAACGACTTTGTAGCTCACATTAGGCCTGTCTTCAATATCAGTTCCCCTATGAAGAAAATGAATGGGAATTTTACTTCCAGAGCCTGACTGTTGCAATGCCACTTGGTTTTATAGGCTATTTTGTTTTAGTGCAAAAGACATACATTTTTATACATTTTAAGAATTCTTTTTGTGGCCACTTTATGCACCAATAACAATATTTCAGATGGCACACTATGGATCTTAAAATGCCTCCATTGTAACAACTTCAAAATCAGCATTATGTCATCTGTACATCCGGGACATTCAGAACCAGGAAATGCGTAACGGCGACAGGAGCATGTAAACATCGCAATCTATCGTCTTTAAGGCGAATATATATTGACAAACGAAGGTGTTTTCTTCATACAAAGCACATAATCCTCATGTCGATTACTTAATTCATCCTTTACTATGTTTATGCCGTTTTCACGGCGATTTCAACAATAACTATCCACCCATCAACCTTCACGCACTGATCCATGGAATATGTCAACAAATGATGGATTAACTAAGTGTATACGATACACTGATTATTGACAGCTGATTCTGCTGAAACTCTGATGAAAATAATATCGTAAGGGTTCATTTTTATCCTTACAGCGCTGACAATCTTGACTATTTCTTTAAACTACACCTCCATTATTATTAAGATCAAGAATTAAGAATCACCGCACCGTGTTTCAAGGTCAGCAATCTCAATAAACATGCTGGTGATACATGACGCTTTGTAATGCTACTTACGATTTGATTGAACAGATGAATGATGCAGGACACCTCCAGTGCAAACTGCAAAGCATCGCCACCAAAGCAGTGCGTCTGGGACACGAAAGGGTTAGTTAACCATCTGCCATATCCATCCCAACATCTCGTTTATTTAGCCAATGAAGTTGACAGAAGTCAGTGAGAAGAAGTCCTTAGGTTTTGTGTGATTTATAGCGCAGTGACTACGAGCGTGTGTTCACTGCTCAAGGACGACAAAACTTATGATCAGGTTTTTTATGGAATCTTAAAAAACACTGCCACTATAGGCAATTTAATTATTAATACTAAAAAAATCTACAACATGTTTATTATATATGTATATACTGGGCAGGAGTTGTGGAAATACATTAAAGATTAAGTGCACATGGATCCCTGTTTATATAAAAACTGATTAGGCTATATATTTTTGCTGGCCAAGCTGGAAGTTGGCATCACCCTTGTTCCCTCAACAAAAAAACTAAACAAAACAAAAAAACAAGTCATCCCAGCAGCCCTCCATTAGCAGTTTGTTAGCTACTGAACACACACATTCATTAATGTCACTAACTCAACACAAATGATGTGTGTGATTCTTCTGTGATCTGTTTATAAGTAGCTTCTATTAAGTTGATTTATTTCATCATTTTCATCACAAGTTTTAATTTTGCAGTCTTGTAGAGACTCAAGCTTTATATGATTCCTGCAGCTGATATCATTACAACAAATTAATCCAGTCACTTTCATTGAGATGGCAGCATGATATAATTAGGATCAAAGGCTATATTCCAAACACATTCTTTAGAACTCTGTATGACGTCACTAGCAGAAATCTTATATATAGCCATAGAATTCTCATAAGTGCGGGACTGAACAAAAAGAGTGAGGACATTCACACTCTAGGGAGTGTTTTCTCTCCACTTAATCAAATGAGCTTGAATTGTTTATAGCACCCCATCCAGTCCTGGCCCCCATTTAGATTTGTAATTGTTAATCACTGTTAATGCCTTCTATACACACACACACACACACACACACATATATATATATATTATATATATATATGTGTGTGTGTGTGTGTGTGTGTGTGTGTGTGTGGTGGCGAGTCAAAAACCTCATGAATAACTTTCACAAAACATGCAAACAGTTACTGATTATCATCAATAAAGCTTTACACTGACCATCATAAGAACCAAGGGAATGCAAACTTATATCCAAGATTGAATAAAAAGGCCAGTTCATCAAAATTCTGTTATTATTTTGTCCTGTGAAATGTTATGTTATGTCAGATAGCAGGACTTCATAAAACAAAAAGTTTTTTGTTACAGTACCACTTAAGGGAATTTGCAAGGGGAATAATGGAACCTTTTGCACTCAGCTGTATAGCATAGACTCTCAATGTTGTAGTCAGAGAGTTTCAAAATAATTTTCATACAGGCCATATTTTATACAGGCAGTAAAAAAAATGTTAATGACAACATTTTGCTAGCATTTAAAAAAAGGTATATTTCATTAGGCTATATAGCAGTTATCTCTGTAATTTTTATTATAATATTTTGCCTAAATTGTTTACCTGTGTATACAGATGTTATAAAATATTAAGAGACATAGATAATAAGTTATTTTTGGATAGCAGAATAAGTTGCCTTTTTAGCTGATCCAGGATGTCTTACCTCAAAATGACATGCTTTTAAGATATTTTATGGTAAAAGTGCATAACTGCAGCTTGATGTTTACAAGCTTAAGCATTTTTTATTTAATTATTTTTCATTTTCAGTCATCCAGCAGCCCTAAGTAAGTTTAATTCTGCCCTCTAGTGGGACATTGCGTAAGCTTATCAGTAAATGATTTTCATGGCTGCAAAATATTTGTCAAAGTTTTAATTTTTTGAAAAACTAAACTTGTGCATGTTCCATTTTGGTCAACAAAAGCTTTGATGTCTGAAAACAAAATCAGGAGAACAGTTACATTGACGCATGTAGCATAAGCACAGATAAAGAGCAAACAGCCTGAAAAAATGATGGCTTCTCATGATCATCATTAGAACTGACTACAGAAAGGTCAAAGACCTTTTTTAGGGAATTAGGGTTTATTTCAATCTGGCACCATGAATCTGGTGTTGTGCCTGATTTTTTTGTGACAAATTAAAACATGTTTGTTTTTATGTAATTATGTTTTTTCATTATAGACCACTGTTTAGCTTTATGTAACTCAAATTATTCTTTGTCTGATATAGTACAACAGATTTAAACAAAACAACTAAAACTACAAAACAAATGAAATACTGTGTCAACTGGAGAATACAAAAGGTTGCTTAAGAGGAAAACAGTTCATGACAGGGTCTCCAAAATCCTGAAATTATTACATTCTAACTTTTTTATCCATTGTAGAATGGCAAGAGCATATGTTAAATGAGAGATCACAAAAATAGATGGAACATTATGGTTTATGCAACTGTAGATTTATTTGCATTTTATTTCATATTTTGTTTAGATTAATATACATGTTGATTCTTAATGCAAAGAGAAATTCTATTTAAAGGGGTCATATGATGCGATTTCAATTTTTCCTTTCTTTTCTGACAGACTGCCATTATGCTTTGAGTTATATTTTTGTCTGACTTCTTTTGGGTGCTGATCAGACAAGTTTTCCAAGTAGTGACATTGTGATGCTTATTTGCTTTTGCTGTCTTTTTATTAGTTTTATTTCACTGTCTTTTCACCTACACTCATTTAAGAATCAGTTTGCTATTTAAAGAGTCAGCAATCAAATTTTGGTGCCAAAACATCAATGCTTTTTGCCAGTTGTTTTCCCCTTTTTCCTGTTCTTTTACTTGGTGCTCCTTTGGTTAGTTTCTGGATGGTTCACAATGGTTTCTGCACCCTCATCAGAATCATCTAGAAACGAACCAAATGTCCTTAAGTTGGCCTCTCTGCATAACTAAATCAAAAATACTAAGTTTAAACCAACATTGGTCCACTTGATTTATCCAACTAGTGAACAAGACGCCTTTCAGAAGAACAAATACAGAAACAAGAATATGAAAATAAAAAGGTTATTTTTAAAAAAAGAAAAAATGTAAGAATTAAAAATAAAAAAACTACAAATTTAGAAAATGTGTTCAGTCTTAAATCAATTACATTTACCGTTATAAAAACGAAGATGCTTTATTCTTGCAATATATTAAAACATTGTTTTGAGATGGTAACAATTTATTAAATTTATATAATTATGAAAAAAATGTACACTACCTCCATGTACGTTCAAAACTTTGGGATAAGTAATATTTGTAATGTTTTTTTTAGAAGTCTCTTCAGTGCTTAAGGCATTTATTTGATCAAAAATACAGTAAAAACAGTAATATTGTTAAATTATTTTTACAATTTAAAATAACGCTTTTCTATTTTAATATACTTCAAAAAGAACGGCATTTAAGTCAATAAGGAACATAATTTATTCAAAATATAAACCTTTTGTAACAATTATGTATAAAGAAAGATTGATGTTGTGGAACCGACTTTGAAATAAAATATAAAAGTGTCCCAGTTTGCCAGCAAGTTTGTGATTTGAGGTCTAAGTGTGTTTGTAGAAACAATTCCTTTTCTTTTTTTAATTTAATATATCCTTTTTTGGAAATATTATTCTGTATTAGAGATGTTTAGCAGTTTAAAACATTATTATGTGAGGAGTTATGTCATTTTGAAAACAACACTATAATTTTAGCTAGATGTTCTGTTTCTGCTTCTCTTATATCAAGATATTTTCTCTCATGTCTGTAAATTTGCTGCTATAATATTTTTTTAATTTAATATATCCTTTTTTGGAAATATTATTGTGTATTAGAGATGTTTAGCAGTTTAAAACATTATTATGTGAGGAGTTATGTCATTTTGAAAACAACACTAATTTTAGCTAGATGTTCTGTTTCTGCTTCTCTTATATCAAGATATTTTCTCTCATGTCTGTAAATTTGCTGCTATAATTATTTGGGGGAAGCAGTAAGAATTTCACTGTATACTCTGTATACATCAGAAATAATTGAAATAATGTCAGAAATAATGTCATTTGTTGATCAATGTTTAATGCTAAATAGTTATAAAAAGACAAAATACTTATAAATAAACTAAAATGAATCAACTTGAAATTTTTACAAGATCTGTACAAAAAGAAAGACAATATCAATGTTGGTTTGATATTTCAATAATTTAACAACACATTCGCATGTGTACAGTTCAATGTCATTAATGGTCACATTGACAAACAAATATTTCTATTTTAAATGTCCAAGTGTTTAAATAATTTATTTTGCATTTTTAATGATTTAATTAATTATTAGCTTTCTATCAACTCACAAATCCGCTGCAGTTCTCAGCCCAGTTTGGGGAACCCTTTAATGTTTAATGCATTTTATGATGCTGATATCAAAACATGGAATATATTTTCTTTCTCTTTGCTTTTTTATATCAATATGACTCATTTAATGGTGAGTTTAAAACAAGTTAAACTAAAAGTAATCTAAAAAGTAGTCGGAATACATTACATAAAATGAGTAACCTAGATTACGTTACTAGTTTTTTATCATGTAATCTGTAATCAGTATACAATTTGTAAAGTATAGAATAGTGTATAGTATAACCTACTGTATTATTTACAGTAAATTCTTTATGTCAGTATAAACTCTTTAAGGTCAGTTTAGATCAATTGTATCTTGAAAGGAGCATATGAACAGGAGTGTTTTAGAGAGAGGTGCAGAGTCACGCACTTTGCCCTGTGCACACGTCTATTGTTGTGTGCTTCTTGCTCAGCCGTTCTCTCTTCTGTTGTTATATACCACAACAAATGGCATTGTGCTTCAACTAAATGGCCTCTTTACACTTTACGCAATCTCACTGGCTTTTGGAAACTCAATTTCCTTTTTTCCCCACCCCAAAACACTAAATTTGGCCCCCTTTTTTTTTTTGGAGTAACCAAATTCATGAGTGAGTCTGAGCATCCGAATGATGTTTTTGGAAACTCAATTTCCTTTTTTCCCCACCCCAAAACACTAAATTTGGCCCCCTTTTTTTTGTTGGAGTAACCAAATTCATGAGTGAGTCTGAGCATCCGAATGATGAAATGCCTAAAGGTCAGATCTGGTCTCCTGGATTAGGGACTTGTGAACTGCTCATTACGGTCATGACAGCCATCCCGAGAGTTTGATTGTAAGACAGCAGAAAGGATAGTTTTTCAAAAACATTTA